AAAGGTCTGCTTTGATGGTAGCTTAGAGAGTCACCTGAAGTAAAACGAGAACATAATTACAACTAATAGGCTTAAATATCCAAACCACTCTGAAGAGATCATCTCTGGGGTGTTTAAATGATTAAATGAATCAAACACAAGTTATTTCCCTATCAGTGTATGTAAAATGAATGCCCAATTGTCCTCCAGCCGCACCTGCAGTGCCATTATACTCTCCTATCCTCAGTTTGTAGAGGCTCTTGGAATCTCCAATGGAAAACCTGTCATAGTTGGCATATACAGACTCCTGGCCATCTTTCATGTCAATGCGGAGCTCATAACGACCTTGAGCTGCAATCTTCTGAATGTTGTCCAATCCTGCATGGAAAAATGGGGGGAAAAAAAACACGTTCTACCATCCATTCCATCTCACCCCTGTGTTCCAGCCCCTTAACATGTGAAAATGTTGTCTTCAAATATGGTCCACACTGATAAGAGCCCATAATTTAATATAAAAGCGTTGCTCCTGTTTGGTGGTCCATCTCACTTTCTCTGACTCTTATATGTTGTGAAGATAAGGAGCAAAAGACTGTAGATAAACAGCCTGTTTATTGAAGATAATCACATTTTCTGACTGTACAGTGGAGAAACGTCCTGTCTGGCTAAAGACACAATCACTTTTTGATAGCGTAGATGACTCCTGATAATAAAACTTCATCCCTTTTGTGAGTATCTACACGGATGTGCCGTAACTCTGAACTGTAGCTAAGCCCTTAAACTCACTTCAGGATTTAATGCCACAGGATGAACCTGGGAATCAGAAAGGTGATGAACTGTAACGGTGAGGGGAAGAGATCTGAATTACCAGACATGGTCAAAGAGCATATTTAAAGGCGGCCATTGTTGTAATGAGATTAGTTAAAAATAAAATAAAATCCTCATTAAATAGCAGCATGCACACCATTTCTTTTAGTGACCCAATCAGTACAATCTCAGCAAGAGAACGTGTTTTTACTTGATTAAAATCAGCCAGACTTCACACAGCATGATATCTAAAATATTATAGAATCATATCACTTTTATCACCATTTACTGCACTTTAACAGCACACAGCACAAAACTAAATTTATGCTTAAAACAGGAATAGACTATTTTCCAAAGAAACAATCAACATAATAATAATAATAATACGAATGATAATAAAATAATGAGTATAACCAATACAACATACAAAAATAATAATAAATAAAAAAAGTAAAAATAAAACAACAACAAAACAAATCAAGATATTCTCTGAGAGTGATTTTCCTTTTCTTACACAATTTTTCTTCTCAGGTAAATGTACTGCATCAGTGCTTTTATATATATATATATATATATATATATGTATATA